GGTCAGGGGCGTTTTAGCCGCGAGGCAAACAAGGCATTTGCCTTGGGCGGCATTTTTCAGGGGGCGGCAAAAAAAGCCACCCCCCAAATGCCCAAGGCAAATGTCATGTTAGCCTCGCGGCTAACAGACATGCTGGGCGCCGAGCGGCATTGGCGAGCGGGCGGGCAGCTGGCGAGGGAGCTCTTCCTGTGAGCTGACTGCTCAGCTCCCTCGCGCGCCGCAGAGTGAGGCTGGGAGCCGGGATATGACGTCATATCCCGGCTCCCAGCCTCACTCTGCGGCGCGCGAGAGAGCTGAGCAGTCAGCTCACAGGAAGAGCTCCCTCGCCAGCTGCCCTCCCGCCAATGCCGCCCACCCAGCAGCCACTGGACCACCAGGGAGATAGAGAACCCCTTCCCTCCCCAGCAATCCCAAAGGTAAGGAGGCTGGAGGGGGGTGGGTTTAAAAAGTACATGTGTTAATGTTAGTGTGTGTGTCTGTTAGTGAGTGTGTGTTAGTGTGTGTGTGTCTGTTAGAGTGTGTGTGTCTGTTAGAGTGTGTGTGTCTGTTAGAGTGTGTGTGTCTGTTAGTGAGTGTGTGTTATTGTGTGTGTGTGTCTGTTAGTGAGTGTGTGTTATTGTGTGTGTGTGTGTGTGTGTCTGTTAGAGTGTGTGTGTCTGTTAGTGAGTGTGTGTTAGTGTGTGTGTGTCTGTTAGAGTGTGTGTGTGTCTGTTAGTGTGTGTTATGTGTGTGTGTGTGTCTGTTAGTGAGTGTGTGTTATTGTGTGTGTGTGTGTCTGTTAGTGAGTGTGTGTGTCTGTTAGTGAGTGTGTGTGTGTGTGTCTGTGAGTGTGTGTGTGTCTGTGAGTGTGTGTGTCTGTTAGAGTGTGTGTGTCTGTTAGTGAGTGTGTGTCTGTTAGTGTGTGTGTCTGTTAGAGTGTGTGTGTGTCTGTTAGTGTGTGTTATTGTGTGTGTGTGTGTGTGTATCTGTTAGTGAGTGTGTGTTATTGTGTGTGTGTGTGTGTGTCTGTTAGTGAGTGTGTGTGTCTGTTAGTGAGTGTGTGTGTGTGTCTGTGAGTGTGTGTGTGTGTGTCTGTGAGTGTGTGTGTGTGTATTTAGAAGGCGGGGAAGGGATGGGAGGGGTCACGCGCGCGGGGGGGAAGGGATGGGTGGGGGTCGCGCGCAGGGGGGCGCCTGAGTTTTGTCCTGCCTAGGGCAGCACAAAACCAGGATACACCACTGGTCATGGTGCCGAATCTGTAGGTGCAGTGTTGCACTATGAAACGCTGCACATATAGAGTTTAACACCTCTGCTGTCGTAGGTGTAACTCCACCTCTAGCTTTGCCATTGGGGTGTCATTTGCCAGCCAGGAACAAGAGTTCTGTGCATGTTTGGCATCTGTCATCAGAACTCAAAGCATGCTGGAAATAGACATCCAATGGCCACACACTCTCCCCTTTCATGCTGTCGTCCCCTCAGCCCTCCCTACCATGAGTGAGAGTGACGCCAGTCGAGGAGGATCGGGCTGAGGAGAACTTGGAGAGGTATGTTTTAGCTAATCCATTTTTTTTTTGGGGGAGGGTGGAGACGGGGACACACCAGGATAGTAAAGGTTACTCTGACCAAAAGCAGTTTCTTAAAACAGTTTTTTGGTTAGAGTAACCTTTTACTGTTTTCCAGAATGATAACAACACATTAGTCACAACAAAATAAAGGAATTGGAATTACCCATTTACTGTGGGAGTGAATGAAATACACATATTTAAAAGGGACCTGTCATGCCCCAAACAACAATGCTCATTAGACTAAGCATACAATTCTAGCTATACATTGTGCTAGCAAATGTACAGGCTAGGAGAAAAACCTATTCAAAAATATTTTTTTTCTCTCCTAGCTGCCAGTCAATGCTTCAGTACACCAAGGCATTGACTGACAAGGGACAGCAGAAAGGATCAGCCACAGGAGGTGCACTGCTTTCCACCCTTAGCAGCCACAGCACATGCGCTGTAGCTGATATGGAAACTCTATAGGGTGCCGAAGTCACTGAGGAGGGATGTATCCCCAAGCAGGGCAAATCAAAGGAGTCTACAGGAGAAGGGTGGACAGCCAGGAGGTGGGTGTTACACGAAAAGTAACACCTACGAAGTGGCGCTGGAAGGGAGGAGAGGTGAATAAATTAATATATTTTACATTGAATACATCATGTATCTTTATGATATATGGTGTACTCAATGAACACGGGAGCAATTTCAGGTAAGTGAAGTTTTTCACAAAAGTTGAACTTTAATGCGAAACACAATGATTTTTAATGCAGCCCTAAATGATATATTGTTCTTACTGGATTTAACAGAAACATGTTGGAGCATTCTAAATAAAATATAATAATACTATAATAAATATAGATACCCTGCCCCAGAACCTCCTTCTCAAGGGGTGCCCTATTACCCATTTTTTGGAGCAGAAGTTCACAACCTTTTTTATACAGGAATACAAACTATGGACATGACTGTAAGCTTAAAAAACAATTCTTCAACTGTAAATTTAGCTCAATAGCCCGTTCCTTAGGTGCAGTATAATATATACTAAAACAATGTCCGCAAAACACGTTAGACTCTCCTTAGTGTCAGAAGGGCTTCCATTGCCCTAGGAAAGGCAGTGTTGCTACGGTAAACAATTTATTGGAGATGATGCCAGGAGCATTATGCAAACGATGTGCCTGGTCCAACCAACAGAAGCTTAACAACGACTACAGCATAGGAACCCACTATTGAGATCTGATCCATGGTTTAAGAACCACTGTTCTAGATACTCCTGTGGAAAATACATACATTAGAATGCATTCTATGCTGCTAGATGTACCATTTACAGGTACCTCTACGTGGTCACCAAACATTTGCCTTTTTCAAATACATATACCTAGTTGTCTACAAAAATTCTCAATTAAAAAAAAAAAAAAGCAGTAACCAGCAAACATTTCCCAGTGAAATTAATCCACACCACTGCAAATATTAAAAAAGCAGTAACTGTGGATTTACTGACAAAATACTGACATGAAGCTACAAATATAGAAATGTAAAGGCTGATGTGTGCATTCCTTGAAAGAGGATTTTTTTTGGCAGGTGTACACTAGGCTTTCTATAACAAACTGTACAAATCTTAGCAATATTAAGCATATACACATGAATCCAGCACGATGAGAGAACAGAGCAGCTATGTAAACACAGCCAGACACAAACCCCCCACACAACTGCATGCAATGAGGAAGGGGCTGATCTCTAAAGGAGGGGGAGGGGGTGTACGGAAACCCAATTTGGGGGTTAACTCTTGATTTGTTTTAGGGGATGCCCAGTTAAATGGGGGTGGGGGGTCAGTATTCCATTCACAGAATGTGAGGCTGCCGGCTGGTTCCATGCACACAGGCCTTTCTATGGGAGGAAGGAGGCTGGTGCTGGGCATGGAGGGCAGCGGGCAGCACGGCTCCCAGACTCACAGTCAGCTCACCTCCCCGGTCATCACTTACCGCGGATGGCGGATACCGTTAGGGCAATAGTCATCTTCCAGCGGGGAAAGCCAGGGCCAGGGTGGGGCAGGGAGCTCCGGGGATGAGTGTGAAGTCACAGCCCGAGGAGGAGGCGCTCCACACAGAGGGACTCAGTGCTTCCTGCCTGTGAGAGAGACAGCAGCCAGGTCTAGGTACAGGCAGCAGCAACCAGGCTCACACTCAGCAGCTGGAATCAGGATCAGCGGTACCAGTAATAAGGGTCAGCAGCGGCCAGGCCCACACTCAGCAGCTGGAATCAGGATCAGCAGTACCAGTAATAAGGGTCAGCAGCGCCAGGCCCACACTCAGCAGCTGGAATCGGGGTCAGCAGCAGCCAGGCTCAGTACCAGGAGTCAGGGTCAGCAGCAGCAGCCAGGCTCAGTACTAGGAGTCAGGGTCAGCAGCAGCAGCAGCAGCCAGGCTCAGTACTAGGAGTCAGGGTCAGCAGCAGCAGCCAGGCTCAGTACTAGGAGTTAGGGTCAGCAACAGCAGCCAGGCTCAGTACTAGGAGTTAGGGTTAGCAGCAGCAGCCAGGCTCAGGACTGGGAGTCAGGGTCAGCAGCAGCAGCCAGGCTCAGTACTAGGAGTTAAGGTTAGCAGCATCAGCCAGGCTCAGTACTAGGGGTCAGGGTCAGCAGCAGCAGCCAGGCTCAGTACTAGGAGTCAGGGTCAGCAGCAGTCAGGCTCAGTACCAGGAGTCAGGGTCAGCAGCAGCAGCAGCAGCCAGGCTCAGTACTAGGAGTTAGGGTCAGCAACAGCAGCCAGGCTCAGTACTAGGAGTTAGGGTAGCAAAGCAGCCAGGCTCAGTACTAGGAGTTAGGGTTAGCAGCAGCAGCCAGGCTCAGGACTGGGAGTCAGGGTCAGCAGCAGCAGCCAGGCTCAGTACTAGGAGTTAGGGTTAGCAGCAGCAGCCAGGCTCAGTACTAGGGGTCAGGGTCAGCAGCAGCAGCCAGGCTCAGTACTAGGAGTCAGGGTCAGCATCAGTCAGGCTCAGTACCAGGAGTCAGGGTCAGCAGCAGCAGCAGCCAGGCTCAGTACTAGGAGATAGGGTCAGCAGCAGCCAGGCTCAGTACCAGGAGTCAGGGTCAGCAGCAGCAGCAGCAGTCAGGCTCAGTACCAGGAGTCAGGGTCAGCAGCAGCAGCCAGGCTCAGTACTAGGAGTCAGGGTCAGCAGCAGCAGCCAGGCTCAGTACTAGGAGTCAGGGTCAGCAGCAGTCAGGCTCAGTACCAGGAGTCAGGGTCAGCAGCAGCAGTCAGGCTCAGTACCAGGAGTCAGGGTCAGCAGCAGCAGCAGCCAGGCTCAGTACTAGGAGATAGGGTCAGCAGCAGCCAGGCTCAGTACCAGGAGTCTGGGTCAGCAGCAGCAGTCAGGCTCAGTACCAGGAGTCAGGGTCAGCAGCAGCAGCCAGGCTCAGTACTAGGAGTCAGGGTCAGCAGCAGCAGCCAGGCTCAGTACTAGGAGTCAGGGTCAGCAGCAGTCAGGCTCAGTACCAGGAGTCAGGGTCAGCAGCAGCAGTCAGGCTCAGTACCAGGAGTCAGGGTCAGCAGCAGCAGCCAGGCTCAGTACTAGGAGTCAGGGTCAGCAGCGACCAGGCCCACACTCAACAGCTGTTATCAGGATCAGCAGCAGCCAGTCTCAGAAGCAGTTGTAATCAGGGTCTGCAGCAGGAGCCATGAACAGCATCAGCCAGTCTCACGGTCAGCATCAGCCAGTCTTAGGCTCAGTATATGCTCAGCAGCAGACAGACTCAGCAGGATCATCCAGTTTCAGGCTCAGCAGCTCTGCTCCCTCCAGACTCCCCTCTCTAGGGGCTCCCCTTACCTTTCTGCTGGAGGTGCGGCCTTCTCATTTCTAGGAGCAACAGGTTGCTCATCATAAACGGTGGGAGAGGTTTATAAAAGTGTTTTCTTAAAAAAATCTATTTTATGTTCGGTCTGTAATCTGTTTGAATTTATTAAAATGGTCTATATAAAAGTGTCTGCTTTATGCTGCCACTTTTTTCTCAAATATCCATTTCACACAATAAAATCGCCACGTTTAGAGGGGCGGAAAAATAGAAATGAAATGGGTTCACTTTTCTGGCAGGAAAAACTGACGGAAAGGTTGATAAAGCCAAAAAGGCAAAATACTACTCACATTTGACAAATTACACAAAAAGTTTACAAAATTGTCAGCAATAAATACTTTGATAAATTTACTTCAGTATAATAACTTTAGCAGTGCACCTGCTGCTAGAACCATGGGCAGCAAATAGTTACCTTTACACGCTCATTATAAACAGTTATAGGCATTAGAAGAATTGTTAAAGGCGAATTTAGAGCCTATAGCAAAATTCACAAATAATCTATTAATCTAAAAGTGTGACCACAATTTCTTCCATGTGCTTTCACCGAAAGACACAGATTTGCAAAATGGAACAAAAATGCACTCAAGTTGAGTGATCCCCAACACAATATCCTACAGCTCAGAGCTGAGGGAAAATGCAAAGTTTGTTTACAGGAATGTCACCTGCAGTACAATTTAGTGGCTTTACGTTGATTAAACCTTGTTTGCAATTTGCACTTTCAGTATCGCATGGACCAAAAGATTCACAAAGTCCTCATTTAGGCCGCCATTTGATCTAACAATGATACCATTTATGCAGCTTAGATAAATAAAGCCTCACTATATCAGGGTAATATTCCCTCTATTCATTAAACTCCATTCATTGAATTGCTGCTTAGAGACACCATCAGTGCTGGGATTTCTCACTGGAAACAGCCTGGAAGAGGATGGCCAGGCTATCTGCAATGGGTGACTCTATGGTACTGGTCCTCCAGCTACTGTTCTGTCTTCTTATTGACTGGAATAGGAGAAAGAGTGTCTAAACAGTCTGTGTCTGGAGGATCTGGGCCAGGGGCATCCAAGTTTGATCTGCAATGGCCCACTGCATCACATGTGTGTGTTTCTCTCCCAACCAGCACCTTGCCTATTTCTCCCTCAGCACCTCTTTGTCTCTTCTCCTCCCCCCCTCCTTCTCTTCGGCACATTTTCTTTTTCTCTCCCAGCCTTTTGGGTGTCTCACCCCAACTTCTGTCTGTTTCTTTTGCCCTTTCCCTACCCCCATCTGTCTCTTTTGCCCATTCTTCAGCCCCTCTTTTCCCCCTAGCCTCTTTTATGTGTCTTTTTGTCCCCTTCCCAATGCCTCTATGTGTCTCTTCCTTTTAGTCCCTCTGTGTCTCATTCTCCCCCCAGAACTATAACCAGTTTAATGATATGAAGCAGATACAGTGCCTACGGTGTCCCTTTAAGTCTAAACATGAGTTGCATAACCGTGTGGCAGGAATTGTCCTATTGGATCGCGGGTGGGGAGTGCCATGTATCTATGGGATGGGAAAATAATAACAAATTCATAGATGCAATTATTATTTCTGTGGCAGGTACATAAGAGAAGATAGAGCCAAATGTTTCCATTTGGATTGACGTTGGTCTGGAACAAAGGAGGTGGTCACTTATTATTTCTATTGGTACGCCTTAACTCCACCCCTGGGCATTAATTGATAATCCATGGGGTATATAGCCAATGATTTGGAGGGGTGTGGGTGTACTTGCTTGGGGCCAAGATCTAATTTTGAGTGAGCCACCATCGTCCTTCCTTGCCAGAGACCCCCTAGGCAGAAGTTTTACTTTGAAAACCTAAGTGAGTAATTAGGACTTCTGTTATTTTATCCTTTTTGTTTTTATTTGTTGTTGGTGTAAATAATTTGTTTATCATATATTTTTGTATGCACTGTGACTATTTTTTGCTCATAATAAACATTTATTAAGTTCTGCCTTTGTCTGGTTAAGAATCACGTTACCTGAAGAGACATAGATATTGTGCTAAGTAATATTTGGTGGGTTTTTATTATTGTTTTATAATAATCTTTGGGTGAATGACTCCAATAAACCACACAGGGTAAATAATAATAACAAAGTGTTTAACCAAGAAAGGTACATTCAGATATTCTCTGGTTTCCAAGTACGTCCTGGGTATGTTACTTTTGACCACCATCCAAGGGATGTTACGATGACTCCAATAAACCCAGATTATTGTGTAGGTGAATGCTCAGAGGAAATTGGTGCTTACATTTCTAACAAGATGTTATTATTATATATCTGAGCAGAAAAATAGGGTCCACTTTGTGGATTAATGGTTGTTTTGTGTGTGTGTGTGTGTGTGTGTGTGTGTGTGTAGTGTTTATGTCATTTGAACTGAGTCTCCAGTTCTTACCCTAGTAGCATTTCCAGAATGAACTTTGCGGCTTGTTAATAAAAATCTGTCCTAATTATTTGGCTCACAACCAGCATACCGATCATAGACTAGCTGCTTTAGTTGTGCATTGGAATTAGTGCTCTTTGGCAGTTGGCACTAAGAATTACTAATTCCTTGTTGAATGGCAACCTCTCAAAGTTTAACCTCTAGGCAACCATCTCTATGCCAGCTATGAGTGGTGCTTTTACCATTATATCAACTCACTAAATACACGTTAATGCTAACTTTTAAAGTGGTTCTGTCACTTGCTCTGGCCATTTTTGTAGATTTTACTTTCATGACAAAGAATATATCAAAAGTTTCAAAGATCTAGTGCAGGCTTCCCCAAACTCTGGCCCTCAACATGTTGCTGAACTATAACTCACATGAATCTATGAATGAAATAGATAGGCTGAGAATCATGGAAGTTGTAGTTCAGCAACATCTGGGGGGCAGAGTTTGGGGAAGACTGATCTAGTGGGACAATCATGATCCATGTCCCATCATTCCAGTTTTATTTCTGTGTTGTCCAAATTCTGCAGCACACTATTTATGCACAGGTCTATCCTTGATAGTAACTGGAATATCAGTTTACCACACAAATATGTCCCCAGATCCTGGACAAAAGCCATCTTTTTTCACCTGATTTTTCAGATTGCTAAAATGCAGTAGTGTTACATTATAGGCAACCTTGCTGTAACATTTGACTCACTTTGGGACCCCATCATTTCATTTGACTAAATATTAGTTTTGTCATGAGTCTATTCTAAAATTTGGCTAAACTTTAAAAAATACAATCGAAGAAGCAACTTCTGATGTAAAAGGTACATGTGTCCAGAAGCATCACTAGTGTGATGTGTGATTTGGCACACTTAAGGCAGATTCATCTATTGCTATCCCCCAAATTTTAAATTTACATGGACAGGCCAACAACTTGACTCAGGGTCCCTTATTTGTCCTTCGTTTACTGTCTTTCCTATTGAACCCAGAATTGCATCATATTTGCATCAGTTTTGTAGCCAAGCAAAGTCCAAATCTAAACCTGTGTCATTTGGGCGGCTATTTTGTAGCCGAACTCTGTTCCGCATATATCATATATGATACTGATATTGGTAGCTCTGCTCCATATATTAATATTGTCATCCGGTGCCTGACATTCCAGAAGGCATCTATAGATGGCTCACGACACACACATATACTAACATACTCATTACTCAGCATAGTAATGTATCAAGAACTAATGGGTATGGTGTTTGACATAATTCCCCATTATTTCCCAGAGCTGGCGAAGGTGACGTAAGGCCACCCAGATATGGGAGAACTGCATCTATCATCCTCTGACAGCTTGAGATTTGTGTATGGGATACTCATGTGAGTTAACTGAATTTTTAAAACACATATAGAATCCCTGATTTTATCAACATGGTTGCTAAACTTGAATAGATTAAACATTTTATCTCAGATAACACAGCTACAATTCTTTCCTGCTATCTCAGATAAGCAAATTGACTGCTCCGACACACCTACAAGACTGGAATTACAATCAGGATTATTCACACTGACATCTGAATTTCAGTATTCAGGGACAAAAGTCATGATTTGTCTTAGCAGTGCAATCTGGGTATTAAGTAACTAGATGAATTTCAGAGAAAGATTGGAACATGAGTCTGAATGTGCTAATAGAATTCTGAGCATTTATGTGCCTCCATTTTGCAAAGTAGGGGCCAGGGCTTATTTGCAACTGCAGACAGACCCACTAAGCATTATTTTTATTTTCATTACTTTTTTAAAAAGAAATTAAGTATTAAATTATTTTTTTTTACATAAACTATCCCTTTAAAGTGACACTATAGTCACAAAAGCAACTTTAGCTTAATGAAGCAGTTTTGGTGTATAGATCATGCCTATGAAGTCTCACTCCTCAATTTTCTACCATCTAGAAATTAAATCACGTTTGTTTCTGTTTATGCAGCCCAGGCTGTGACTGACACAGCCTGCATTAAAAATGTTTTTATTTTCGTGGGCGGAGCCTGACTGCTGAGTCAGCTGGTCGAACATCACCCGAGCTCTGGGCCTGAGACCCTTATTCTGCTTACTTTTCAAGCAAAAAACTACTACAAATCATACAATACTACAGCGGGTTACCCATATATGGACAGGGGACACCTCGTTTGCAGTTTGCAGCCGGTGGTCAGTAACTCCATGAAAGAACACAGTTGCAGCCTTTGGGAGGCTGAGGCGGATAGAGACCGGGAGAGGCGTCCGCTTTCTTCATTCTATAAGCTGCCCCCCATGCCTCACTTGCCTAATCTATAGGCTGCCCCCCATGCCTCACTCCCCTAATCTATAGGCTGCCCCCATGCCTCACTTGCCTAATCTATAGCCTGCCCCCCATGCCTCACTTGCCTAATCTATAGCCTGCCCCCCATGCCTCACTCCCCTGATCTATAGGCCGCCCCCCATGCCTCACTCGCCCTAATCTATAGGCTGCCCCCATGCACCCCACCTAATCTATAGGCTGCCCCCATGCCTCACTCCCTAATCTATAGGCTGCCCCCATGCCTCACTCCTCTAATCTATAGGCTGCCCCATGCTATAGGCTGCCCCCATGCCTCACTCCCCTAATCTATAGGCTGCCCCCATGCCTCACTCCCTAATCTATAGGCTGCCCCCATGCCTCACTCCCCTAAGCTATAGGCTGCCCCCCCATGCCTCACTCCCCTAATCTATAGGCTGTCCCCCCATGCCACACTCCCCTAATCTATATGCTGCCCCACCATGCCTCACTCCCCTAATCTATAGGCTGCCCCCCATGCCTCACTCCCCTAATCTATAGGCTGCCCCCCCATGCCTCACTCCCCTAATCTATAGGCTATTTTAAACCCCTCCCACCCCATCCCTCACTTTCCTGATTTGTAGGCTGTCTCTGGCTGCATGTGTTGCTCCCCTGTGGTTTTAATCAGCAGAGAGAAGCAGGGATAAGATGCAGCTTCATTTTAAGTCTCACACGTAAAATGCCACGAAATGCTGGCAACAGCTGTTGTGGCACTTCACGCATACTTGTACTATACTTGTACTATCTATGCACGGAAAAATAAAGTGTTATTTTTTTTAAAAATTGTTTCATTTTCATTTAGATGTTAACTTTCTTTAAAAGATATCTCTTACTCCTACTGTAAATTGAACTTTAATCAGACTCAGAAGCCTCCTGCAAGGTCCAGCAAGCTGTTAGCAGTGCAGAATATGCAGGTTGTGTCAGTCATAGCCAGGGGAGGTGTGGCTAGTGCTGCATAAACAGAAACAAAGTGATTTAACTCCTAAATGGCAGTGAATTGAGCAGTGATACTATAGGGGCATGATCTATACACCAAAACTGCTTCATTAAGCTAAAGTTGTTTTGGTGACTATAGCGTCATAGTCCTACTATAGAAAGTACGAGTTAGAGTTGGTAAATGTTAAGAGTATTTATGAGTTTCAGATATTTAAAGGAATACTCTAACATTAAAAATAGATATATTTTTTTAACTCTCAATGTGTTCCTTAGTAAGTTAGATTATGTGTTCAAAAAAAAAAAAAAATGTTGAAAAAAGCCATTAAACTTGTCTGCAATCTGGAGAGGGGAAACATTTCTCCCTATGGCCTGAAGTTCATCACAATGAGGTATACAAGGATTACAGTGTGCTTGTATAACCTCTCTCCACTTTTCATTATTTTGTTCTTTCCTCCAATAATAATACATCATGAAATATTCTATTTAACAAAAATATCAAGTCATAAATAAGTCATACACTGTCACGTATCACATTTAATAAAAAAATAAAATATGTGGCAATATCAGAATAATATCAGCTACTCTAGAAAGCTTGCTTCTTATGGTATTTGAACCAATAAAATTGTGTCCTCGTGATATTTTAGTAGGTTCCAGTTAGTTGAAATAAGTACAACATATTGACCGAAAAACATGAAATAGTAATCTATTTATTATGCATTTTATCATTGGAGTATATCTAAAAAGAGCTTGCAAAATCTTCAGATCTCTTGTCTTCAGACTTTTCAACCCCGCCCACACTTTCTGTAGTTGCCCAATCACAGACTTCCCAAAGCAGCTCAATAAAAAGTATTTGCAAGGCAGGTGCTCTGGTTACTAAGCTTTCCAAATTATTCAATACTGTTAAAAATAAAGAAATAAAAAACATTCCAAATGACTTATCATCAGAAGTCACTATTGAAATCAATGGGAATTTTGTAGATAAATAATTTTGAAAGTCATGCAGTCATGTCCCCCGTCAGTCCATTCTTCCTGATATCACGCTCCCTCCAGCGAGGCAGGTGGTGTTACCCTGAAGAGGATTGGGCATCAGAGAGATCTAGAGCAATTTTTAACTGTTATGCATCATGTTAAAATTTCTTTAGATTTATTTACATAAAGTTCAAAGGCGTGCGCACGGGTGTGCCTGGGCACACCCTAATCCCCGCGGCACACCTATGAAGTGAGACCGGCAGGGGAGATCTCAGGATCTCCCCTGTCGGCTCATGCAGAGCCAGCGCTATCCGAGCTCCAGCTCTGCTCTAAGCCTCCCTTCCCACAGCAGCATGGAGGGAGGCAGGAGAGGACCCGGGAAGCTCAACCAGCAGCTCCGCTCGGTTCCTCTCGCGAGTTCTGAGCGTTGCAGTGGGGGCTAGGGGCTAGAGTTCACTCTCCACTGGACCACCAGGGAAAGCAGCAGCATGATCCCCCCTCCCTACATAAGGTAAGAAGGGAGGGGGATATTAATATCTTAATATCCCCCACCTCCACCCCCACAATCACCTACACACATACAGCACACACACACACATACCACACACACACCACACACACATGCAGCACCTTCACACATACAGCACCCTCTCACATACATACAGCACCCTCTCACATACATACAGCACCCTCTCACACACAGCACAGAAACAGCACCCTCACAAACACAGCACCCTCACACACACACACACACACACACACACAAACAGGACCCTAACAAACACACACACACAAACAGCACCCTAACAAACACAAACAGCACCCTCACACACACATGCACATCACACTAGCAGCACCCTTACACACACACACACACACACACAGAGAGCACCCTTACACACACACAACACCCTCAAACCACCCTCATGCAGCACACACGCACACAGCAGTGTATGTATGTGTATGTATATATATATACATACACACACACACACACACACACACACACGGCGTGTGTTTGTGCTTTAGGGTCCACACCCTAATGCAATAGGCTGCGCACGCCTACGATAAAGTTAGAACCATATCTCAAACAGTCAGTCAAACAGTGCTTCAGGCTCACAGCATCTCAGACCACCAGCGCCCACATTCTGTGTGTTTCTTACATAGTTGCACTTAAGCAATAAACTGCAACTATGTCAGAAACTTGTAGATAAAAATTAAGTAATTTTCAAAACTATTTTTATTGTGAATGCAAGATACAAAAGATTTGACATCATTAATATCAACAGCTTAAATGCAGTTATGTGTTACTGACAATTGGCAAAGTGATGTTCAATCAGTTACATTCACAATCTTATATTTTCTTTAACATAAAAACCAGAACAAAAATAAGGTAATTGATAATGAGCAAGAAGTGGGGCTGCAACAGTTACTAGTAGGATACCAAAGGAAACATCTCATCCAGTTTGGTGAAGGTGGCCGATGTGCCCAATTATTGTTGACTCTCCAATTAAACTGCTTGTATAGGTCAGGGATAGAAATTTTAAAGTAATGTTTTAATATGCTAAGGTGTTCTACAAGACAGGTATAAGACCAGCAGAGAAGAGGAGGGTATCCCCCCACTTTCATTAGGAGGACTACAGAGGTTTCCAAGATAATGTTAGCTAAGACCTTCTAGACTGGAATAGCCTTCCAGCTGAAGTGGTAGAGGTTAACACAGTAAAGGAGTTTAAGCATACGTGGGATAGGCATAAGGCTATCCTAACTATAAGATAAGGCTAGGGACTAATGAAAGTATTTAGAAAATTGGGCAGACTAGATGGGCCGAATGGTTCTTATCTGCCGTCACATTCTATGTTTCTATATTTCTAGACTCACCATTCCAGTAAAGAGCAAATGCCCAGTCCCAGTCTCCACCCGGCCCCGACATGGGTATCGTCAAAGTCACAGGAAGGAGATACGGGACTACAAAAGTGTTCTCAATACTAGAACCATGTTCTGTGACAAAGAATCAATGAGCAATGATTGCTCTGAAATATATTACCACAAACAAAAGAAGGTACACCAAAGGAGGTGCGCAGTTCAAGTGCTCAGTTAAGCCATCACCAAAGCATGAATTGAAAGACCAAACTAAATAAAACAAAACAAAGTAAACAAATTGCTAGTTTGCCTTATCACTCCCCCAACACCACTTTAAGCACCACCTCAGTTGAGAACCATGCCGTGTATGCCAAAATGGTTCTCACCTTGGTCTTAAAAGAATCATCTAGGTAATTATATAGGATAGCCAGATCAAGAAAATATTCCTGGCAAGTAGTTATTTATTTGTTAGCGTGTCCAACCAATCCATTTTAAATATAAAAGCAAGTTTGGCTAAAAATATTTCCAATGTGGGTGTGTGCAGCTTGCTGCAGACCTGAAGGATGGTTTTGAGTCCATCAGCTACTATGATAAGGAGGAATCGTTTATTAGGCAAGGGATGGCATGGTAAGGGTCCCAAAAGCACAAATTCAGGGGAGAGTGGAAAAGTGGGCATGTCACCCCTATCTTAGTATGAGTTCAGTTCAACCCAGAAAGATAATATTAGATGGATTAGTCAGAATCTGAATGTGTACACTTGAAACAGGTTGCAGTCTCTTTTCTAGCCATGAGATGGAGACGGTGAGAGGAATAAGTGTAGTGTAGGTTTTTAAGGGACATGTGCCTATAAGACACCATGGGCACAGTTTGACCATGATTAAAATGTGCGAGGTCCGGGAATTGTGTCTTCCGCTTTGTTGTGCCTGTTTGTAAACTTCTACAGTTCAGAATATATCATAATATCATATAGAGTTTGGATTAGAAAGTAGAATCAGAGGAGTACAACATGGCATCCAAAGGGTTCTCCCAGTCAATAGGTGTGAAGTGTTGCATAATAGTATAATAGCAGTGTCGGGTTTATTTATTTATTATTGGTATTTATAAAGCGCCAACATATTGCGCAACGCTGAACAATGAGGGGAGAACATACAATATGCACAGACCAATACAATAGGTAAAGAAGGCCTGCCCGTAAGCTGAGCTTTAGCCATTGAGGATCTTACAATCATTGGTGAGCTTACAATCTAAAGGATGTAATGGGGATGTGAGACAAGAGGTAGCAAGAGGAATTTGGAAGTGATGGCTAAAAGAAGTTCACAAAGAGTTGCAGCTATGGGTAAAATATAAAGGGAATGAGGAGGTAATTGAGTGAGACTCTCAAACCGCTGGAGGAGCATACCATATAGTTGGGAGGAACCTGGGTGGGCGCAAAGAGGGGAGGGTAGGTGGGTAGAGTAAACGTTTGTTGTATATCATTGAAAAGTTTACCAACCAAATTATATCACTCAAAATATTAATAACTGTGTACATGGAATATTGGTTGAATACATTAAATGACAATAATAATAATTTTAAAAAAAACTACATGCACAGAAAATTAACAGTGGCAAACTACAGTTATCAATGGTAGTAATGCTATAGTAACAAATGTTAATATGGTAACAATGTTACAAAGAATAACAATAAATGAGGTGGAGTATCTTCCAAAATTCCATCAGTACCTGGAGCTGGCTGAAAAATGGAGAATGGAGAGATTTAGTATTGTTGGTTCTAGGGTTTGAAAGTAAGCGAAGCATTGAAGTGGAAGGCCCAGGAAATGCTCCCGGAGCTCAGAAATGGTCAGAAAGTTCTGGTGAACATTATCAACGAAGGAGCATAGGGTGTTAATCCCATGGTCCACAAAAAAAGTGAAGGCGTATTCAGCACCAGGAGCAAAGTCTGGGTTATGAGTTAAGGGCAGGTGAATGGTGCATAGTGTGTTAATCCCATGGTCCACCAAAAAAGTGAAGGGGTATTCAGCACCCGGAGCAAAGTCTGGGTTATGAGTTAAGGGCCGGTGAATGGTGCATAGTGTGTTAATCCCATGGTCCACCAAAAAAGTGAAGGGGTATTCAGCACCCGGAGCAAAGTCTGGGTTATGAGTTAAGGGCCGGTGAATGGTGCATAGTGTGTTAATCCCATGGTCCACCAAAAAAGTGAAGGGGTATTCAGCACCCGGAGCAAAGTCTGGGTTATGAGTTAAGGGCCGGTGAATGGTGCATAGTGTGTTAATCCCATGGTCCACCAAAAAAGTGAAGGGGTATTCAGCACCCGGAGCAAAGTCTGGGTTATGAGTTAGGTTGGCCCCAAGTTTGGAGTGAGGCTGTTTCCAGGCTCCAATAGGGGTAGCTAGGAGGGCATTAGACAGTATAGAGTCAGGGAGTTGATGCTGCGGGCTGTGAAGGAGAGCCACGAGTGAGGCTGGTGATGCCAGAAAGGGCTCCATGGATAAGTTCAAAAACCTATGTTGGAATTTAACCCAGTCCAGTGCATGCCTGAACTGTGCTGCCCAACTGCATTCCCTGGCATTACGTAGGTTTAAACCTCCACTGGTCCTATGTTGGTACAATTTGGTGAGACCAAGTGGTGAGTGTCACTAATGCTTCCTGTGTTCCCAATGGTTCTCATTGCATTTGACAAAAGTCATCAGAACTCTATTGGAGAACAGCTGCAGCAAGGTGTCTGTCCTGTTGAAGGATTACATGTATGTTTTATGGCTTTAATTATATATATCCCTCGTAATCTGAACTAAAAAGGACCCCTTTACATTTAAATAATATATATATATATATATATATATATATATATATATTTTTTTTTTATAACTTGAAGTTTATTTGTGTTTTTGGTTTGGTCATTCACATATCACAAAACAGTATGGGTGGGGTAGGGGGGTACAGAAGAGAAAGGGAGGGGTGCAGGGTACAGGTTGCATGTTACAGCGGTTGGTTTGGTAACTTTATTACACATTTTTGATGGGTCAAATCGCCCCTTCATGTTTTTTGTTGTGAGTTTTACCCTTTGTTTTGGTCTGCTTTAGTTTCGGGTACCAGAGTCTGTTTGGGTGAGAGTGCTTTGTTGCTTACATGGTCAGAATACTATTTGCCTCGTTTCCCGGTGGTGTTTGTACCTTTCTATTAGGTTGCGGTTATACTTTTTTTTTTCTCTCCTGTGTTTACCTGTTGGTGCTCGATACTTCGCTATGTATCCTTTATTGTGTGGTTCGTTCAGCATTCCCCGGGCAGGGATGGGCTGGAGGGGGACGAGGGGGCTGGTATTGTGTCTTGGTACCCATTTGTGGGTTTTTTGCCTTTTTCCCACGTCTCATGGGCTTCCCGTATACTCGGGCGGGTTCCGAATTGTGTCGTTGCCATTAATTCGTAAGACCAGTTAAGGTCCATTTGCCTCATCAGCTCGGCTAGTGATGGTGTTGTGGTTTGTTTCCATAGCCTGGATATCAGCAAGTTTGCTGATATTAGTGTGTGGTATTTAATGATTTTAAGATGTTTTGGGATGTTGGTTGGTAGCATGAATAGTAGACATTCTTGTGGTGTATCCACCCTTATACTATGCGTTATTTTGTTCAGCAGTGTGGACACCGCTTCCCAAAATGGGCTTATTTTGTCACAGGACCACCAGATGTGGAGCATCGTGCCCACCTCCAGCACATGTTACTTGTGTGTGGCCATATTGCGTGGAGTTTTGCGGGCACTAAGTACCATCGGTACATAATTTTGCGCTGCAGTTCCAAATGTGATGCGCACGCTGTTAGCCCTCTGTGAACCGAGTAGGACCTCTCCCAGATTTCCTTTGGGAATGTCTGACCTATTTCCCTGTGCCAGTCTTTCTTGATCTGTTCTAGTGTGTGCGTTTGTGTCAAGGTTAACTTATGGTATCCCCATGACATTGATTTCTTTAGTGGTGCTGTTCCTACACATTGCTGTTCAAAAACGGTCATGGCTGTTTCGTCTTCTATACCCGGTTGTTTGTTTAGTTTGCCTGTTATATATGATTTGAGCTGCAGGTAGGAGAATGTGATTGTGGTGGGCAGTGTGTATTCTGTTTGTATGTCTGGTAGTGTTTTCAGTTTGCCTCTGTCAATGACCTGGTATATGTGGTGTATTCCCCCTCTCTTCCAGGTGTCTCCGCGGAATGTAGGTACTTCCATGCCTATTGTTTGTATTGGTGTAGCCAAGGGCAACTTGGGGTTAGACACCAATTTGTTCCTCGTTGTGTTCCACACCCTCATCAGGTTCTGTGTGCTAGGTAGTAGGTTCTCTCGTATGGGTTTTGGACATTTCTGTAGCCATAGTACCGCCCTAAGGTCGTGTTGTGGGGCCCAGTGGGATTCTATTGCTACCCACTGTGGGGCTTGAGCTGGACGGTTGATTTGGGCTATGTTATGTAGGTAAGCTGCCCTACAGTACGTTGTTAGGTTTGGCAGACCCAGCCCACCTTTGCTCACCGTTTGGTGTAGTGTTCCTGCTGCTACTCGTACTTTTTTCCCCTCCCAGACGAATGTGTTTAGTGTGTGTTGCAAGCTTTTTAGAAACCGTTTCGGGATGGGTATTTGTAGTGTTCGGAATAGATACTGGATTTTAGGTATGAGTGTCATCTTTACCGCTGCTATGCGGCCTGTCCACGATAGAAATTTACCTCTCCACTTTTGTATGGTGTCTATGATTTCTGTTTGTATGCGCTCGTAGTTTAGTTTAAAAAGGTGTGCCGGGTTTTTGGAGAGCTTAAGTCCCAGGAACGTCAAGTAGTCGTTTCTCCAATCCATCGGGAATGCCGTCTGTAACCTGCCCAACAGGTCCGTGTTGAGTCCCATCCCTAGGGCTTGCGTCTTGGTGATATTTAGCTTGTAGTATGAGACCTCCCCGTATTCACGTATTTGTGCCATTAAGTTTGGCAGTGATGTGAGGGGGTGTGTGATCGTCACAAGGATGTCGTCTGCAAAAAGGTTGAGTGTGTACTCTCTGTCTCCCAGGGTTATACCCTTTATGGAGCGGTTTGCTCTTATTGCTGCTGCCAGTGGCTCCAGCGCTAGGATGTACAGTAGCAGGGATAGGGGGCAGCCCTGTCGTGATCCATTGGTTATTGTAATTTGCTTAGATATAAACCCTGCATTGAGCACTCTAGCTGTGGGGTGGGAGTACAATGCCTGCACTGCACTCAGGAACCTCTGGGGAAACTTGTATTTTTGGAGTACAGCTTGTAGGAAAGACCAGTTTAGACGGTCGAATGCTTTTTCAGCATCTAGGGATAAGAGGACCCCCCCTCCTGGCTACGAAGTAAGCATTGCATTAGGTCCACTACTTTTCTTGTATTGTCCGACCCTTGTCGCCCGGTGGTGAAGCCCACTTGATCGTCGTGTATTAATGTGGGAATGATGTGGGTCAGCCTAGTGGCTAGGATTTTAGCATATAGTTTAGTGTCAGTGTTGAGCAGTGAAATTGGTCTAAAGTTTTGACTGCAGGTGGGGGGTTTTCCCGGTTTAGGTAGTGTGACTATGTGGGCTCCCAGCATTTCCGCTGGCACCTCTCCTTTTTGTGTTGCTGCATTAAACAGGCGTGCCAGGTGTGGAGCTAGTATTCCCGCATATTTCTTATAATAGGTGTTCGTAAGACCGTCTGGGCCAGGTGCTTTCCCAGGGGGTAGGCGTGTGGTGGCTTGCAGGACTTCCGTTGTGGTGATGGGGGCTTGTAGGGATTCTATTTGTTCCTCCGATAGAGAGGGTAGGGTTATGTTGTCCAGGTAGCGCTCTATGTTCCCAGGAGTCGGATGTGTTGTATTTGGGTCTTGCTCTAGATTGTACAGTGTCGTGTAGTAGTCTGCAAAGATGTCGCTGATTTCTTTCGGTGTCACTTTTTTTTTCCCCATGTAAGTTCAGCAGATATGGGATTTTTGCCTTTACGCTTTGTTGTGTTAGTCGTCTGGCTAGGAGTTTGCTTGCCCTGTTCCCCTGTGTGTATTGTGTTGCTTTGAGTTTCCTAAGGCTAAATCCCATCTTTGCCAGGTCGTGTTTCCTGATTTCTTCTAACTTCTCTTTTATTTGTGTTTTTAACAGTGGTGTTGGGGTCAGTGGGTTTTGTTTATTGAGGCGGTAGAGGGCTGTCAAGTGTCTCTTTAATTGTGCTTGTAATTTCTGTTTTAACGCACTGGTTTTCCCTATGATCAGTCCTCTGATTACTGGCTTATGTGCTAGCCATAGGGTTTCAGGGGAGGTGTCTGGGTGTGCGTTTGTCTTAAAGCACTGCTTAATATCTTCGGCTAAATGCTCGCCGAAATGCTCGTTGTGTAATATCGATTCATTGAGCCGCCAGGGGCTGCGATGCTTGTAGTCATAAGCGTCATGTAATTCTAAGGTAATAGGGGCGTGGTCTGACCACGTGATGGTGCCTATGGAGCAGTCCTTTAGTTGGTTTAGGAATGTGCCTTTTATGTAAAACCCATCTATGCGCGAGTAAGTGTTGTGCACTTGGGAGAAGAAAGTGAAGTCTCTCTCCTCTGGGTGCAACACTCTCCATGCGTCATACAAGTCGTGCTCACTCAACAGTCGCGTTAGTGGTTTGCATTCCCGTGTCAGTGTTGCTGATCTAGGTGTGTGGGGCGGGACCGACGTGTCCCATCTTGGGTCCAGAATATGATTCATGTCCCCGCATATGAAGGTGATTCCCCTTTGTGGGTGTGCGAGTAGTGTGAGTAATTTATGTAAGAAGTTTCTCTGGTTTGTGTTTGGTGCATACATGTTGATTATCGTGTATTCCGCGTTGTTGATTTCGCAGACCAATATTATGTATCTCCCTTGAATGTCTATGTTTTCATATATCAGCTTAAAGGACACATCCTTACTGACTAAGACTGACACCCCCCTTGTTTTGGACGTATAGGTACTATGGTACTGCGTGGGGAAGTATGCCTGCGCTATGTTTGTCGTCCGCGTGAGGTGGGTTTCTTGTAGGCATACAACATCTGGGTGTACTCTGCGCAGATCCCGGACTAGGCAATGTCTTTTGACTGGGATGTTTAACCCTTTTACTTTATGGCAATATATTTTCATATTTTATGGAGTGTATTGCTGGTTGGTAATGCGGACCTGTATTTGGTGGGGTTCTCCCATTGTTCCTTCTTACTCTTCTGTTAGCCCTGAGTCTGCACTTTTGTGTCGTGTCTTTGTTGCCTGTGGTCCAGTCGGCCGCCTGGATAACCTGCGGTTTCCCCTGCGTGTGTGTTTTCCCTCTTTGCTGCCTGTGTTCCCCATCTTTGTTCAGTACCCTGAGTTCTAGTACCCTTCTTGTGGGAGTGGGGTGGGATGGGTTGGGTGGGGTGGGGTTTAACACTAATGCAACAGGTGTTCATAACATACAAATAAAGCATTACATCAGTCAACATATATACAATAACAGTAACATTTGTGTGCATTTCCCAATGTGGGGTTAGGCACCAGCTAGGTAGTGCCGCGTATGGACGTGGTTATTGTGTGTATTTCTGAGATTTAAAGGTTTGTGTGTGAGCTTGCTAAGCCCGATATTTGCTATCATGTTTCTCTAGGCAGCTGTGTTTTAACTGCCCTGGTATAGGACTTGATGATGTCTAACTATGGTTTGCATCGTGGTGGCAGTGTACTTCTCCTTCTGGGGGTGTCTGTTTTTTTTTTTTGCACAACACAGTTGTATCTCTTTCCTTTCCTGAGTGGTGTGCTTTGGAGTGTCTCTGCCCTCTCGGTGGGCAAAAGTGTTTTGTTTTTTTTGTTTTGTTTTTTTGTTTTGTTTTGTTTTTTTCCCCGTAGTGTTTGTTCAGTGATCCCTACCATGTTCCCTGTCGTCTGTGTGTCTGTCGTGTGTGTGTGGGTGTCTGGCTTGTGCGTACAACCCCGTGGTGTGTTGCTATGTCTATCATACTTGCGGCCGAGTGGTTGCCCGTCCGTGACTGGGACTGCGTTCTATCGTACTTCACAGTCTTTGTTGTGACTTTTCAGTTCATTTCTTGGTTCTTTTCCATTCTTGGGACAGCCTGGCTGGCGCGGCCATGATCTTCCCCTCTGGGTTTACTGGGATGTTCCAGGTGCGCAGGAGTCTCCGTCCCTCTTCAGGTGTGTTAGCTGTCGTCACCGTACCATTTCTCCTTATCAGCAGACGGATCGGATATCCCCATCTATATTGGACATTGTTCTGGCGCAGTGCTTCCGTGACGTCTTTAAATTATTTTCTCTTTTGCAGCGTGGCTGCAGACAGGTCTGTGAAGATTTTGATGTGTCTGTATTTCTGCGGCAGATCGCGACCCCCTCTCATAGCTTGGAGTAGTGCCTCCTTCACGTGGAAGTCGTGTAGGTGTGTGAGCACATCCCTAGGGGTGTCTTGCGGTAGGAACGTTGGCTTCTGTACTCTGTGATATCTGTCTAGGAGCAGTACCTCTGCAGGTAAGTCTGGCGCCAGTTCTTTAAAATAGCCGATCAGGAATGCATGCAGGTCTTGCTGCTTCACCTCTTCTGGGATATCCCGGAGCCGCAGGTTCTGGCGTCTAGAGCGATCCTCCAGGTCCATGACCTTGCGCTGTGTATATTCCAGTTGCTGTTGCATGTGCTGCACTTGGTCGGCCATATCATTAGATTGCTGCAGCCTGATCTTCCATCTTTTGTTCCACGTGTGCCATCCTGTCTCCCAGCTCCTGCACGTCTCTGCGGAGCTCTCTCAGAGTGCTTTGTAAGGAGGCTAAGATCTTGGTGGACATATCCTCCAGGCAGTTTTGTAAGAAATCTTGTGTGACTGGTAGGTTTTGCGGCCCAGGGGAGGACTGTAGTGGCACTGTGTCGTTCCCGCCGTCGCCATCTTGGTCTCCGTCTGTGAGGCCTGCGACTTTAGGCGTCGACGCTCTGGCTGCAAAAAAAATGGATCGGTCCATTTTTTCGCTCTGCCTCTTCTTGTTTGTGTTTGCCATGCTGCCGGGTATCGGGTGAGTCTTTGGGAGCTGAGTAATGCTTTTTTCTTAGCTTTTTCGGGCCAGCGTTGTGCGGAGCTCAGATCAGAGCGACCATCCGCGTTGCTCGCTAGGCCACGCCCCTCAAATATATTTATTTTTAATGGTTTCCTTTAAATTTAGATGTGGTAATAAACAGTTTTTTTCGGTATTAGAGTTTAGATTTCTTAACTTGTAGAAGAGCTCCACCTGGTGGTTATCTGAAATACATTTATTTTCCATTAGGGAATCCTATTCATAATTCACTACAACAAGGTTAGACAACCTTCAGCACTCCAGATGTTGTGGACTACATATCCCATTACGTTCTTACATCTCCCATTATGTTCTTACATCCATGATGCTGGTAAAGCATCGGAGGAGATGTAGTTCACAACATCTGGTGTGCTGAAGGCTGGCTACCTCTGCACATTAGGGCCATGGGTTACTAAGCTTTCTAAATGATTCAATACTGTTAGAATCGTAAGAATTGCCCCTGCATGCAGCCCAGTCTGCCCTCTGTTCATTCTTCCTGATATTCCTCCAGGAAAGGCGGTGATGTTCTATAAACTGGCTATTGATTAGAATAACACTTTAAATTGAGACCTAAGTCTGTGAAATAAAATTTAAAAGTGTAACTTTAAATAGGAATAATGCTTCCAAGATGCTGAAGAATTATTGTATACCTTCTGAGGTGACAGAAAAAAAAAACATTATGACACCATGCTGTAGTGTGTATACCTTCTGAGGTGACAGAAAAAAAAAACATTATGACACCATGCTGTAGTGTGTATATATATATATATATATATATATATATATATATATTTTTTTTTTAAAGTACCTTATTATGTATGCTCTATAAACTTATCTCTACCATCCAGTGGCGTACTAAGGGGGGGGGCGGTCCGCCCCGGGTGCCAGCCGGGTGGGGGGTGCCATGGCCAGCCCCCCGCCCCCCCCATGCTGCAGCCGCCCGAGCGCTCTGTATTGAGCCTCAGGCGGCTGCAGCTTTGCCCGGGCGGTGCGTCCATGAGGGCGGACCGCACCGCCCGGGCGCAGCCTGAGGAGAGGCTGACAGGAGGGAGCGCTCCTGTCAGCTCCCTCACTGCAGCATGGTCCGTGGGTACAGAGAGCAGCTGTCTCCTGTACCTGGCCGGACTAACAGGAAGTGCACACTGAGTGGGCACTTCCTGTTAGTCCGGCCGGGTACAGGAAACAAAAGCTCCCTGTACCGGTCGGACTATACTGGGCTCGGCCACACTACAGGGAGGTGGGGGGGGTGAGAAAGAAATAAGGGGGGGGGTGGGTGAGAAAGAGAAATTGGGAGGAGGAGAAGGAAATTGGAGCGGGAGGAGAGATTGACATTCATCACATACACACAATGCACCCCTTGCACACAGAAAAACACACAGACACACATACACAAGCAATGCAACCGTTACACACAATGCATCCCTTACACACACAGAAACACACAATGCATTCATTACACACACTCAATGCACCCCTTACACACATTCAATGCATCCCATACATACACAGAAACACACCTTGCAGTCCTTACACATACAAACACAATTTCACACAATGCATTCCTTACACACATATCAGGACATCCCTACACACTCCACCCCCTGTGAACAAACTCATTGGTGGAACATGAAGGTGGACCCTGGGACCCAGACCTTGAGCTGTGTAAAGGACCCCCAAAAAATGGAGCTGCTTCCAGTTCTCCCAGAACATTTTTGTGACCACAGTTACAAACCACCTCCAGAGAGCCTGTTCTGCACCAGACCAGTGGAGCCAGACTGCAGCTAGAGCCCATCATCATCCTCATCTGGTTGTAAGTAGGCAATCTAGTATATTATTTGTGGCACTAAGCTCTAATTTACCTCACATTAAAGAAACACTATAGTCCCCAGAACCACTTCAGCTTAATGTAGTGGTTCTGGTGTCTATAGCCTGTCCCTGCAGGCCTTTTAATGTAAACACGGCGGCACTGCAGCACTGGCGTTAGTTAACATGGCAAATCATATGGTTGGGGCATTGTGATGTCACATGGGGGGCGGCAAACTTTACTTTTGCCTAGGGCGGCAAAAATCCTTGCACCGGCCCTGGCTGGAGGGGGCTGTGTGAGCTGTGGCCGCACAGTGTCCCATGGTAGTTAGGGTGCCGTGCGGCCAGTACAGCTCACTCAAGCAAACAGCTGATAAACTGGCCGCACGGAGGAAATGTGTATGTGTGACTGTCTGCCTGTGACTGTGTGTGACTGTCTGCCTGTAACTGAGTGTGTGACTGTCTGTCTGTAACTGAGTGTGTGACTGTCTGCCTGTAAATGTGT